ATAAAGCGAGCTGTCGTCCTGCAGACTTAATGCTTGGCTTGGCGTGGCTCGACTTGACTGGGTGGCTGGCTGGGCTGGGTAAAAACGCATGTTGGCGGAAATTGTTTAACAAACGCAGGAAACGTTACACACACGCAATTACATAGACACCCGAGACAGCCCGCTCTGCCCTAACCCTCAATCCCCACGTTACGTATACGCAGTGTACGCCCGCGTGTTGACAACAGTTTGCAATTGGGTTAATTGTACATTGGCTGCCTCTGACTGGTTATTGCCAGCTTCCTCCTTCTCTCTCTATCCCTCTCTCTCTCTCTCTCTCTCTTAAATGTGGGTCATTGGGTTAGAGCTGGCTTAGGGGAATTTCTTGAGCTCGCTTCAATGCCTTTGCTATTGCAGTTCGTAAAAATAAACATTTAAGTACGCAAAATGCTTGAACTTTGCTAAATTTAATTGCAGCCAGCTAGACGAATGCTCTTCAATACACTCTGTCTGTCTTCCTCTCTCTCTCTCTTTGTCTCTCCCTCTATTCTGTCTGCTGTCCTCCCCAGCAGACAACGTCGCTTCGTAGCGCAGCAGTCAAACGCAGTCGCAACACGTGCGGCTATCATTTGCCGCTTACACACCACTTGATAAGCGCTCGAAGCATTGCTTGCTTGCAGCCACTGTACTATGGGCGAAATAAGCGAAAGAAATATTTGAAATTGATTATTTGTATGAGCTTCTTAGGTATGTGGATTTGTTATTTGTGTTTTAAATAAAAAAATATTAATTTTTACTTTTTATTTTTAAACAATTTGAAAATAAATTGATTTAGCTTGTATTAATATTTTTATTATTATTACCAGTCATATTTTAATTTGAAAATATAGTGTCGGATGCTTATTGTCCAGCTTAAATAGTTTAAGGCATAATTTAAATAAATAAAAAAATAAATAAATAAATAAATAAATCAATAAATAAAAAAATATATAAATAAATAAATAAATAAATAAATAAACAAATAAATAAATAAAATATTTGCAAATAATTTACGTATATTTTTGCCATATTTTTCCTTTTAAAATTTGCATGATAAATAAATATAAATTAAGTAAATAAATGAATATATTATTTTATTCACTTACAGCACTTTTTTTTAATAATATTTATTTTTTGTATTCATAAACTTATAATAAAATATGAATAAAAGTGCAGAAGCTATTTACAAAAATTGACAAAAATTTGGATTCTCTGGGCTTATCTATATATGTATGTATTATATGTTTAAGCAGCCTCTCGTGATATTTTTTAAAATTTATATCATATCAAGCTGACATTTCGCCCATAGTGCACTGTTATGGCTGCTCCTCGTCTGCGACCCTTTCTGCCATAAATATATGCAAATATATTACGTGATTTCTAGCTGAGATTCGCTCATCAAGCAAACAACTAGTCGAACGACGCTGCAGCGAGTGGAATTTGCTGAAAAGAAAACTAATGCAAACTAATGTACATATGTAGGAGAAAGTTAGAGAGTGAGAGTGAGAGAGAGTGAGAGCACAACCTTATAGACTATTAGATGCTCTACGACATTCATATTCAATTATTAGCCCAGCTAATGTTGAGCTCTCATTTGACTCATTTCATCTGCATTAATTATGCTAACTTCTGTTGTCGCTGCTGCTGCCTTTCGTTTATTTAAATGACGCGGGCAGTGGGTCGCAAAATAAACAATTAAATCGCATTAAACATTTACTTAACGTGCTTTAATGTTTATGCCTTGCAATTATATGTTAATTAGCACATTGTTGCATTTTATATTTTCGCATTATAATTAAAACACATTTAATGAGGCCGCAAATTTGCATAGTTAATGCAACATGCCACGCCCCTGCCCTCAATGCTGCCGATAGAGGCTGAATCAAAGCGAAACGGGTAAAAAATATATACATACATACAGAAATATTTATATATACATATGTATATATATATCCAACGACGGAAGTCATTTAAAACACATTTCAACGCCTCGTTTCGCACAGAGCTGCTCGGGCACCGCTCGAGGGAGTTGGTCCCGTTAAGGGTTGATGCTAGGGGCTGGTATGCACACGGACATATGCCGCTTGTAATTTCCATTAAGCACACATTAAACAAAATTGCATGTAATTCGAAATGAATTAATGAACCAAGCAGTTTCTGCTGAACAGTCAAAGACATGAGGCATCGAGCACAGGTAAGGGGAGCAGGAGGAAGAGGAGGTCCACTGGGCCAGAAGGAGCTCATTGTAAATTTGACACGTAAATGCAAATGACCAGCGAATGACAGGAAGGAAGGAAGTTGCACTTAAGCCTTAAAAATGAGGTAAGAATATTGGAAACGGGCACTACTGACTGCATAATACTCATTGAATACTTATTGGTAAAGAAGTCTACTGAAAAATTGGTAGAAATTCGCATTACACAGATGTCTTCAGATAGGCCTGGGTAAGTCGTATGACAGACCTAAAATTGCACAAAACCAATATACCCACTTCAGTTTATACACGGGCATAAATACTTTTAATCGCTGCAAAATTAATTAAATAATTAAAGCTTTTCATCACACAAGGCACCGGGCCCAATGCTCCCCAGGCTTTTAAGGCCATGTGAACAAGTTATATATGAGTGCATTTCACAGTCTATATAAGTTGAGTAAAATCGTGCTCTTAAATTATACGAGTGGACATAAAGCTGTTTCCCCTTCCGAATGCTTAACCTATTTATTTACTCAACGTAATACGACGAAGTCGTGAATCCGACTTGTGGCTCTTGATACTTAATGTGCTTCAGCTAATTTGCTTTTTATTAAGAGGAGGAGAGTAACTCGAGATTTCACCCACCTCGGGGTTCGAGTTCGAGGTGTCGAGTGACGTTGATGCGGCTGCTGCTGTTTCTGCTGCTGCTGCTGCTGCAGCGTTGCCTTGCTGACAGCCGCAGCTGACAGAGAGCAAACGTGTCTGACTTCCGCCTGATTCGCAGTCAAGGAACATGCACATGTTTATTATGCTGTAAATATATGGTAAATAAAATGAGGAAGAGCTTGACGGGCTGTAAAGATACCCTGGCGGAAGGTACTTGGGGCAATTATATATGAGAGTGCTTTTAGGAGCTAGACATAAAGTGCTTCTTCGACTATTAAAACACTCCAAAAAAAGTTTACTCGGACCGGCTTTCTATGAAGAGCTTGCTTGACTATGAAATACCCTTGAAAAAATTAAAGCGAGGCATATTTCAGTCTTTACAATTCTAAGAGAAATAAGAAGAGCTTGCCCGCTTGATAAAGTACCCTGGAAAAAGTCACAGCTCAACCTTATTGAAAGTTCTTTACGACTTTATATAACTGGAAGAGTCATTGGTATTAAAATACCCTAGAGCTTATTTATTGAAGGCTTGACTATTATAATGTTATTAATGGATTTATATATCTCTTCGCATATCTCTGAGAGTAATTGGCGGCTGTTTATGTTGTTTGACTAAATGAAGTTGAATGTCTTATAGCTAAATATTTAATTTTCTGCGAGCATAAAAAACCGTAACGCACCTAGGCAAGGCTCAGTTGCATGAGCTTCACTGTACATGCGTTTACATTTATATACATATATATGCTTATATTAGTGCACAGGCCAGGCTCCTGCGCCACATCCTTGCTCCATGGCTGGCTGCTGTTTTAATGCAGTTGCCGTTTGCTTGTGCCTACAGTGCGGCGCTTAAAAATGTTTACGACGCTTAAATAACAAATTTATGGTGAGGAAAAGCCAAAGTGGCTTTTAAAATTAACTGCGTTAATAAACACACATACAAATATGTATATATGTTTGCGATAAGCGAGTGCCAGCAGAAATATTTATGCGGCACCTGGATTTCATAGGCCAAGGTGAAAGGTGAGAATGGACTGTAGATAGGGAGAAAGCGCTACAGATGCAAAATACCAGCATTTAAAAAATTTTAATACCCATCTATATATATATATATATATATATATATATATCTGCATCTATATATATAAATACGGCGACTAGTGTATCGCACCCACACTTATTGGATATTTATGGCAACCATGAATAATATTTATTCAATACAACGGTATTTATTTTGGCCATAGCGCCAACAAAATTAGCCATCGCATTTCATCATTATCACGATTGGCGCACGATCATGATGGTGTTGCCAATTGAAATATTAAGCATACGCCGCATAGCCAGCGCCAAATGGCTTATGGCTAATTATTTACAAAATCAACACACGCACACACAGACACACAGACACCCATACACATACATACAGTGGGCATCGTACGCTTTTGACGTCACGAAATGTATTTAAGAATCAATTGACACATTCATAAATTGATAGCTGACTTATTACCAATAATTGCTTTTGATTGCTGCGCGTTTCTTTCCATTCGCCGAAGATGCAAATGCTACGCTACGCCCATAAACAACAACAACAAAGGCGTAAACAAACAAACAAACGATACCAAATTCACATAATTTGTTTATAAACAGAAGCGCGCAGCCGAGGCACATTAAACCGAACAGCGGCGAAACATCACAGGCAACACAAGCCAATTGCCGGCGCAGACATTAAAAAGCAATTATAATTATATTATTAATATTATTATTAAAATACGCGGACTACACAAAAAACTCAATCCCATATAACATTTCAATAACAGGGAATGCAAAAAGCAAAGAACTCAGCTAACAGACCACCCACTTGGCGCCTGCCTGCTGTTAAATTTGACTCTAACAGCGCTGGAAATTGACTCCGAAACGAAGACGCTTCGGGCTGCGCACGAAGTCTGCTCTCTCTCTCTCTCTCTCTCATGCGTTCGCTCATACGGAACAGCTGTTTGGCGTGGGCCTGGCGGAGCATCATTAGCATCATCATGATTATTAACAGTGACAACAACAGCGAGCACACGCACACAGATGTGATGTTAGGGCCAGCGGCTTCTTTAACGGCCTCAGTCGTTGCCTGTCAACAAAGCGCGACGCACGTGTGCTACGGGCGGCGCTCGTTCAAAAAACTCTCAACTAAAATCAAACAAATGCGAAACGCGCAAAGTCGAAAAACTTTCATAAAATAAAAAAACAATATGTGAAAAATTAAATAAAATTATTATCAAATAGCTGATGTGAAAATTGTGAATAATTTACAATACAAAAATTACATTTACTCTAACTGCAACAGTTCAGTGACAATAGCACAATAAATCAAAGCAAAGCCAAAAAGTTTTCAAAACTCGCAAAATGAGCTTCAAAGCACGTAAATAGTTTTTGCCAAGCAGTTGTTAAACTTCTATGATATAAAATACATACAAGTATATATAAATATACATTTTTGTTTCATAAATTTATCAACGCGCTCCACCGCAGCCGCAAGACAAACTCAAAACAAAAACGAGGTAAATATTTATTATTGTCAGTGCACAATAAATCTGCTTGAACATGAACTCAACTGCAGAGTTTATCAAAGAAAAACCCCAACAAAAACAACAGAGAGAAAAAAAGAACAGTTAGCCAAACACAAAAACGTGTCAAATTTATGCGAAGCGGTAAAATGAAACTGCCGGAAATTTATATGGCTTATAAAGGGGGCAGGAAGAGAGCTGCAGGACCCACGCACAAGTGCACACACTTCAAGGATCTTTGTTTGCCTTTGTAATTCAATGCCAATTCTCCAATGGCAAAACAAACAACAAAATATAAGAAACCATAAAGAATGGAAACTTTCTGCAGCTTTGTTTAGATTTTCATAATTGCGCTATAAACAATCTTTTCCTTTTTTTTTAAGTACTTGAGTACTTGATAAACTAGCTCAAGTGTTTAGTAGAATTTAAATTTTACTTAAATGAACTACTTAAATAAACATAATTTGCCAAGCGGCCAACCATAACTGTTCAATTAAAGAATCGATTATCATAACAAAGCCAAAGAAACTTTTTCAAAAGACCTACGTAAGTAACCCCAAGTCTCGTGGAAGTCTCAGCTAGGGTTACCTCTATAAAGCACATCAAGTCGCTATCAGACTCGTTGAATTTGTCGAAAGTCTAAACTTATGTCGTGCCCCACACACACACACACGGACGCACTCACACTCACAGAGATGACGTTGCCTTAGCACGAGTTGGCTGATAAAACGTAGCATACTTTTTGGGGCAAACTGCTTAGGGAACACAGGGCCACAATGGGAGCGCAGCACAGCGACAGGCTAAATTAATAAACACGTCAAGAAAAAGAGGCAGACACATAGCAAATTAAGCAGTAGTCAAATAGTTAACAGAGCAGCTGCAGAGAAAGGGCCAAAATGCGCAAAACCGCAAACTCAATGCAGATAATTAAATATAATTATCTAATGTGTTTCTCTATGGGTTACAGTAGTTACTGTGAGTGAGCCTAGATGGGTCTATGTGTGTGTGTGTGCATGTGTGTGTTAATAATGCTTATTAATAGCCAGCGCAATGCCGACTGTAAAGAGCGGTATAGCATATGGTCTGATGGAGAACTAAAGAAAATTGCCTGATCAGATATTATTATTAATAATTTAGTGATTATCGTTAAAAATTCATATACAATAAACTATAAAACAGTTGATTCCCTCAATTTAAATAATTCCTCTCAGCTTGCCTTGGATTATTGCCCATTAAATTTGCTTATTTCATTTGTCTTCAACGACTTTTCGAGCACAATTGCAAAATTAACTATTTGAGTGTTGATCATCTTCATGTACTTAGAGATAATTGAACTAATGAATTGCCCACTCGAAGGAATTTATATGAAGTGTGCAGTTCGCATCATAAAGCAAAACAACTCAAGCTCATACAAATGTACTTCAAGTTATTAAGAATTCAAGTGCAAGATTGCTCAATAAGATTCTGCTTAAATTGTAATAGTTCATTAGGTGATTACATACTTATACAGAATAGTGACTGATAGCGAAATAAATAGTAAAAGCTGATATGGTAAAATTTTAACATATATAAAAAAAAAAAAATGTATAAAGTTGTAATACCTAAAAATAAAATAATGACATAAAAAGAAAATAATAGCTAAAATTAAATTAGTAAATAATTAAATATAAAATAAAAAATATATTATTACTTCTTTTAATTATTATAAAAATTTTAATATTAATAAATATTTAGTAAACTTAATATTAAACTTTTTTATGAATAAAATAACTTAATTAAATATATCAATAATTTTAATATATTTAAATTTATACATTGAAAATAAATATAAATGTAACTTAAATATATTAATAATTTTAATATATATATATATATATATA